AGGCATCAAGGATGCGAACGCGTTTGTGAGCTCGTGGAGCTGCAGAACGCAGAGGTGAGGTCTAGTGACCTCCGTCGTCTTGACAAGACGTGACCTCGCTGAGGAAAGTTCGAGAACGGTATGTTCTCATCTTAGTGAGGGAGAGTGTAACGGGGTTAAATGGTGTGGAACACACAGGGGTACGAAGTACCCGGAGAGTTAACAAACGCTCAGTACATAAGTTGGAGAGTTAACAAGGTCTCTCAGTACGTTGGCTGAAAGCCACACGTTATGCATTTGATTAGGTTTAACTATGCTAGACAGTTAAAGAGATACATTTACCCCTAGGCGACTTGGCCGCAATAATAGTAAATAAAACACTTCTGGTTTTGAAGCATAAAAGTTAAGGTGTTAACTTTGAGCCCTGGTCTTGGGCTGTAAGTGTCCTTTGGATAAGGAACTTAGTATTAGTGACTCTTTGAGTCGAACGTCTTCCTCTGACGCTAAGCTACGGCAGCCCCGCTGCATGGGTATTCAGTAGCATCATATACATGTTAGTCTAACGTGTACAGACAATAGTGTACATACAATAGCAAACTCACCACACCCACCTATTCCAAACGTGTTGCCTTCATACATGTCTTCATCTTTCAGGTTGATGAGTCCCAGGTGTAACTTGCGGATATATTGGCCGTGAGGCAAAGGACGTGTTCCTTTTCCTGTGTGAAAAGCACGGTGTACAATGTAGCCGTTGACAATAGCTAGATCCACGAGTCCCAAAAACAGAGAATTCTAGTACTTGCAACGTCATTGCACGCTGCAAAAGTACCGCTGCAGGCGGCCTCGAACGTGCACATCAACCCCGCCCATGAAGTTGTGGTAGTCTTTCACTTCTTTGGGACAGGCCACTTCGTGTTGCTCTTCAGCCTTCTCCCTCCTCACAACCCTCTCAAGCGCAAGATTAATCCCACTACACAAGAACAAAACTGGTTTGCTGTCCCACCATTTGATGGCAGTCATTTGCTTGACTTGCTTTGATCGAACGGTACTGAAAGCTCCCCGCAAGACATGTTTGGATCGTTTCTTCGGGTCATTCTTCTTTGGTCTGAGATTTGCAGCGAACTTAATGCGGTTTGTCATGATAGTGCCGACCGTATAGAATCCCATCAGCGGTAGCTGTATAGCAAGCGCCACACTGGTGTAGAAGCGATCCGTAACCAGGAGATGAAATCACTTATCTTGTCCGTCAGTAAATACTGCTTTCAGGTTGCGAACCACGGCCGCAGGGCCCGACGTTTTGGTCACTGACGTCGATTTGTCAATGTGTTGTTTGTTGCCTACGTAGACCTCAAGCCTGAATTGTACAGAAAATATACATTACATAGTAACGTATATTATACAGCATACAAACTCAGAAAAATACAGTAAGTACCTGACGCAGTACGCGGTGTGCGCGCAGCATAGGGATAAACAACTTTGTCCCCCATTTACACGGCTTATCCTTCATGTACACTCGAGTCCTGTTGAATAACGAGCGTGACGGTAGCATGACTTCATCGAACGCAAGCTCAGCAGGAGGTATAAATCCACGCCGAAATGTGCGCTGCAGCACATGTACTACCTTACGAATCTTTCAGGCTCTGTCAGACTTGACGCAAGGATCAAGGTTGCTTGAGAAGTGCATGGGTCTGGGAATCTCTATGAAACGGTCTCTCTTTAAACATTTAGAGAACGAGCTTCGTCCGATAGCCCCCTCATCCTCCCGTTTCCAGTGGTTGGGTATCTTTTCTCGGTTTGGCTGGACTGTCCAAGCAAGAAGAAGTCTCATGAACACACAGAGTTCATGCGTAAGCACAGGCTTGACTGCCATAAGTAACACACGTACATCGCCGCGCGATCGTAGTGGAGTCATGTCATCCGGCCGGCGACGCAGCATATTTTTTCCGGCGGTCGAAGTATACTTCAACAAGCACATCGGTCTGCTCGTGTTTGTAGTTGTTGCTGCACACAGCATTGTGCTGCCAAAGTGCTACTGACAAAACGTTGAAGAATATCGCTAGTGGGGAATCGCCCCACTTCATCGCATCTGGCGTAGGTCCGAAAGGATCCTTCCGCAAGTCCGCGTAGCTGTTTTCGTCTCCAACGGCTTTATACGGGCGCTGCAAGTAATCGTAAACGTCAGAGGATTCGGGGTCCGACCATCCGGTTACGCTGTCCTACCGTAGCTTGTTCAAATCGTCGCCGACGATATTCCCAGTAAGCACCTTGTCTGATTTTGCCAAGCGACGCGAGAAACATCTCGGTCAAGTGTCGCTTCGCGATAGATTCAACTCAATTGATATCATCGCCAACTGGTTCATTTTTGTCCTCTTCGCCATCTTCTATATGCTCCACACCAACATCGGCAACACTGTCTTGTACATCATCTTCATCGACAATATCGTCTTCGTCAATATCCTACTCGTCAGACGCAGGGCCACCAATGTCGTTAGGGTCTTCTCCACCTTCTATCTTGTTGAGATTATCTTCCACATCACTAGATATAAGGCTATCAGCTGTAGTACATCATATCGAGTACGTGATATACCGCGTAAGTATGTGTTGTATATACAGGATAGAATAGTACGCACCATTGTCGTTGTCGAAATCGCCGTCATCGTCATCGAAGATGGTAACTTCATCATCACTGTCATCCTCGTCGGACGGCCCAAACAGAGACGTCCCAATGGAGGTATCAGCGGAAAATCTTGGGCGAAGCGCCCTATCCCGCGGAACCAACTCGAATTCATCATCCCTGTCTTTAGAGGTTCGAATATCAACTATATCACCTGCACCATACCGCAGACATACAGTAAGTATGGCAATCACATTAGTTACGCTGGGAGTACATACCATTCACAGGGCTCGTCGACGCGCTCTGACATGGAAGGTAACAGAACTCCAAGAAATTGCGGTCAATTCGGTCGTATCTGGCGGGTCGGCTGGGGTTCGTCGATGCCTGGGCCGACTATAGCTGTTGCTCCAACGGCTTAAGTGCTCGATGGCGTAAGCTCTAAACAAACGCAATAGTCGTTGATACATGATAGAGAATCCAAATTATATACCATTGTCATTCACCATACATCTACCTTTTGCAGCGCACGCCGAGCCCAGCGCTTCGACCGCTGTCATTGAATGAACTAACCCAATAGCAGCAGAAAGCTACATGTCGGCAACGCCAAGACAATGAAATACAGCTAAGCGTACGTACCGGAGGTATACTGAGCGCACTCTCGCTCTTCTCCCAAAACGTGGACCGTGCCTTCGATGCCGCGTGCTTTTCCACCAGGCGAAATAAGCTTCCACCGCGTCTCGATCGAGGCTTCTTGTGCGTCCATCCGCTCGCTTTCAGTTCGCTCCAGGTCTGACGCCAGGTAGGCGTACCGCCTTCAACGATGCGCTCGGCTCGGCGCTTTTCGCGTGCAGCACCCATCTTCTTCAAAACTCCGCAAATTCGAAAATGGGGGTATCTTGCTGGCTACTAAAAAAATCCAGCGAAATATGCTAGATGATGTGACGCTTGTGTAAAAGACCTGCAGCATTTAATTATCCAAACAAAATGGTAGAGACTGTGCTTTTGTCCCTCGCCCTTCTCATGGCAAAGCCTGAAACTGGACAAGTCAGTGACTTAACTTTTGTAATGCGTGTTACATCGTCAGGCTAAAAAAACTTCGTGTTTACAAAAACCAAGTGTAGCGCTATTACTGGGCTGTATATACAAGTTAGATTATCCTTTTCACAGGATTTGCTTACACATCTTATAAAGCGCATCGGGCTGAAGGGGTTAAAGACGATAGACTTCTCTGTGCAAGCATTAAAACGCCATCTGGCATGCGTCACTATAAATTCAAATATGATGAGAGACTAGCAACGGGAGCTAACGTATATGGTTTGGAAGGTGTTGGAATACCTAATGATGATGTAGTAGTATTTGCTGGCAAGCATTATCGCGTGTTTAGCATCCCAGAGCAGTTGGGCCGTATCCTAGATGGTTTAGATAATAAGCTATGTACTGAATGGGAATTCAAACAATAAAAGCAAAAAAAAATGAAAGATATCTTCGTGCAAAGTACCTTAACATCAT